TAAAAAAATTAGACTAATCTTTTTTAAAATTTAAAAAATATATTAAGGCCAAGTTTAGGAAGACTAAATAAATGCACTTTTTGACTTTTCTTGTATTATGTGTAGAAAAAGTAGAGAGGAGATGTTGATTGATGTGACCCAAAAAATATAAAAAGATGAAATAAGTGCACTTTTTTAGTTTAGCCAAATTTGGCCTAAGTACCATAAAATTTAACATAATTCTATTGAACTTTCTTCAAAATTTATTCATTTAAATAAAATTTCACTAATATCTCAATAGTATTTTTTTAGTTACATGAATAAAAAAAATGGCGTTATTTATTTAATATTGGAATATATACAATACATTCGTATTTATTCTTGTGTTTATAGAAAAAATTTATAATACACATTCTTTTTTTGATATGTACTATATGTATAATTATGACTTTGTCAACTTTGATTATAACTCGTTGTGTTGTTGATTATGAGTATAATTATATCAAACTTATAAGATTAATTGTATTTAGTAGTAAATTAACTCGTAACAAATGGTAATTAGAGTCATATTAGTAAACTTCATTATTAGGGGTGAGCATGATTTAATTTTGGTTTGTTTAAGAATAAACTAATGATCAAACGATTACTTACAGATTTTTAAAATTTAGAATGAAACTATAAAAATCTTAAAACCAAATCAAACTAAAGAAGTAATTTTATAACATAATCGTAAAATATTACTCACAACTTACTCGAATATCAAGCAATGTGCTATCATTTTAAAAATAAAAATAATTTACATGATTATTTAAAACCCAATTCTACTATTATTCAATTAAACATAATTTACTATTTAATAAAGATCCCCTTAGGAATACATTAAATTATTAAACAAATTATTTGGACATGTTAGGTATTTTTTAAAAATATTTGAATTTATAAAAATTACTAAATAATTTTTATTTATCATACTTATTGAGACTTCACTTATTGCTCAATCAGATTTGACTTACAACTCGATTAAATCTCACTTACTAATCAATAAGACTCTACAACTACTCAATCAAACTTAACTTACTATTCAATCACTACTACTACCACTACCACTACCATCATTACCATTGCTATTGTTACCACCATCACCACCACCATGCTACGACCACTACCACTATCATCTTCATCAACATTGTCATTGTTTCCATAAATATCACTAAAATTTTACTACCACTACCATTGCTACCTTTACCACCACCACCGCCAACACCACCACCACCATCGTCAGTGCTACCATGCCACTACTGCCACCACCATACCACTGCTATCACTGCCACTGTCACCGCTACCATGCCACCACCACAACCATCATATCGCTACTATTACTTAATCAAACTCCATTTATTACTCAATCAAACATGGCTTAGTACTCAATAAGATACCATTTAATTGAACTTGGTCTACTACTTAATAAAATCTCACTTACTGCTCAATTAGATTCTACTTACTATTTCATCAGATTTATCTCATTGAGCTTTCTAGTACTAATAAGTTTCCACTTACTATTTCACTAGATTCCACTTATTATTCAATTTTGGTTTCACTTACTACTCAATGAGCTTCCACTTGTTATTTCTCTATACTCCACTTACTACTCAACGAGTTTCCACTTACTATTTTACTAGACTTTACTTACTATTCAACGAGTTTCCACTTACTATTTTATTACGCTTCACTTACTACTCAATTTTGGTTAATGAGCTTCCATTTACTACAATAATTTTGGTTTCACTTACTACTCAATGAGTTTCCATTTACTATTTCATTACAGTTCACTTACTACTTAATGAGACTCCACTTATTACTGTTGATACTCCACTTACTACTCGTTAATTGTTTACTTACTACTCCATCAAACTTGACTTATTATCTAATTAAACACTACTTATAACTCAATGAGACTTAACTTACTACATAATCAAACTCCACTTCACTACTACTTAAAAAGACACCACTCAATTGGACTTGATTTACTATTCATTTAAGTCCCACTTACTGCTCATTTAAATCCTATTTAGTTGTATCATATTAAATCTCACTTCTCCACTTACTAATCAATCAAATTTCACTTATTACTCAATTAAATATATGGCTTACTACTTAATAAGACACTACTTAATTGGACTTGACTTACAACTTAATTAAATCCCACTTACTACTCAATAAAACTTTACTTATTATTTTTTTAGACTTTGCTTACTACTCAATTAAACTCTATTTATTACTCAATAAGACTTGATCTACTATTTAATTAAACATTACTTTCTACTCACTGCCACTTAACTTACAATAGCTAAAAAGTCAAAAAATTACTAAAAAGAATAAAAAGTCGATACTATTTGAGGGAAGCTTGTGGGGGAAGCCTAGAGGACAAAATTATTTTGCCCTTTGAATTCAACTACCCAAAAGTCAAAAAGTCAACAGGGGTAGAATGGTCATTTTAATTTTACTATAATATTTTATTACACATTTTTTCGTTAAAAGTTAAAAAGTTATCCCAAATATGCATTTTTTTCTCTACTTGTTGTTTGGGATAACCTAAATAAGTACACTTTTGTCTTTTTATGAAAAGATGTGCAGAAAAGTAGAGATGTGATGTGATGAAAAAAGATAAAAAGATAAAAAGATGGATTATTTTGGTGTTGCCAAACTTGGCCTTATTAGTCAAAAAGTACACTTATATAGCACATCTCAAACAACCCCACATGGCTTACTCAATAAGACACCACTTCATTTAATCTATGCTACTCAATCATACTCAATTTACTACCATAGTAAACTTTTTTTTTTTTTTGGATAAATTTTACTATCATATTAAACTTGAATTACTATCATATTAAACCACACTTACTACTTCGTCAGACTTGATTTTTTATTCAATGAAATTTCACTTATTATTTAATGAGATTCCACTTGCTACTCCACTAGGCTCAACTTATTACTCAAAGAAATTTTATTTATCGCTCGATGAGACTCCACTTGCTACTCTATTAGACTCGACATATTATTTAATGAAACTTCATTTAGCACTCAATGAGACTCCATTTAATTACTACTCCATCAAACTTGACTTACTATTAAATCAAATATCATTTACCAGTCAATGATATTCCATTTACTCTACTTACTACTCCATTAGACTACTACTTAATCAAACGTTTGATACTCGACTATTTGCTTCATCAAACTTAGCTTACTATTAAATAAAATCTAATTTGAGAGTGTCATACTAAATGATAAGTCATTTCAAAACAAATGGTAATATAATTTATAACGAGTGATAAACAAATTTACAAGTCTAACCAACTTTAGAGAGTGTCATAGTATGATCTTATTTATTATTGAATGAGATTCCACTTACTATTTTATTAAATTTGACTGACTAGTCAGTTAAATCGCATTTACTACTTGAAGAGATTTCACTTATGACTTCATTAGATTTAACATATTACTTAATTAAATTTCACTTATTACTCAATGAGACTTCACCTACAATTCTATTAGCCTTGACTTATTACTTAATTTAACATTTGACTACTGACAACTATTGAGTGGTAAGTAGAATTAGAACGAATAATATGATTTGACTTATTACTTATTCAAATATTTGACTACTAACAACCATTAATTGATAATTAGAATTAGAATAAGTAATAAGTATTATATTTAAGAGTGATAAGTATTGTCAATTTGTCGTAATAAGTGATAAGTACTATCCTGATTGATAGTAAACCAAAGCACCTTCGTGTCATCATCGACAACTTGCACTCTATGTTCAGTCTCAAAATAGTTGTACATGTCCTTTTGTATAAACCCAATATTCTTATAGTCACCTGCTTGTTCTACCATACAAGAAGTTATTACTCAATGAGATATTTCAATTTCTACTACTCTATTATACTTTAGTTATTATTTATTGAGTTTTCACTTACTACTCAATCAAACTATACTTACTACTCAATTAAATATGACTTGTCAATCAAGAAGATATCACTTCAGTGGATTTAAGTTAATAGTCAATGAAATTATACTTAAATAGAAAACAGTAAATATAAACATTGCCAAATAGGTTCTTAAATAATAATTACTATTTTGAGGTGTTGTTGGTAAATTTTTTTAAAAAATAACTATTTAAAATTAAGTTTAAATAACTTATAATTGAAAAATATTTTATTTACAATTTTTTTATTTTTTTTAATATTATATCAAAAATTAATTTTTCACAATAATGACTATTTAAAAAAATTAGTAAATTTTAACAAATTTTAATAAATTAATATTTACATATCATATTTTACTTTGTACAAATTATAACAAGACAAAATATAGAAAGAAAATAGTTAAATATGGTATGTTATTAATTTTATGTAAATATAAAAGAGGATATAATTTTCAAGACTGAAATATGACCTGTTTAGTAGGGAATATTTTAAATAGTAAGTTTATTTATAACAAATAGCAAATGAGTAAATACCAAATAATAAGTATATTTGTAACAAATGATAAATTAACATTATTTTTTTTAATTTCAAAATTAACCAAAATTACTTTTCGAATTTAAAAAACCTATCTTATTTTTTCTATGTAATTTCATTTTTGATTCATCTAATAATTAATATTTATTCATCTAATAATTAATATTTATCTTATCTAAATCTAAAGGGCCATATATATATATATATATATTTTTAATATACCTTACATAGTGTCTGTTTGGCAGAAATTATTTACAGCTTATTTCAGCTTTCAGCTTAATTTAAACTATTTTGATGTGTTTGGTTTAACTTATAGCTTATAACTTTGTGGAAGTCAGAAATCAACTTATTCTTTGAGTGGGGCAGGAGATGCTTTAAGAATAAGCTGAAAATCAGCTTAAGCTGAAAGTTATAAGGTATAAGTTGTTTAGGCATAAGCTATAAGCACTTTCCCACAGCTCTACCGAACAGGCTATATATGAGAATTTTCCCACTGTCTCTGCTTTGATAAGAACTGAAGCGCGAAACTGAAGCGCGACAAACCCTGGCAAGTTAGGGTTTCAAACGATACCCGCACTCGCCGCCGCCGGAGTTCCTCAGCACAGCCGCCATCACAGCTACAATAGCCGCCCTCTTTCTTCTCGTTTCGAGGTTCAGTTTTTGCAATTCTCTCCCACTCGCTTGTTTAGTTTCAGAGAAAGTTTCTCTTCTTTTCAAAACTTGAATCATTTTTTTAGCATTGCTTCGACTTTATTATGTCTTTGCTCGAAGTCATCACCAAGGCTTCGGCCAATCCTAATCAACTCACCCTCGAAACGAACTATCCCATCATCCTGAACCCAGATCCGATTTTTCTCAACTTGAAGCCCAAAAACGATGAATCAAACGACACATCACTCGTCAAACGCGTCGAGGGTTGGAAAATTTGGCAAAACGATTCTGATATCATCGATTTAGGCCAAATATTCTTCAAAAAATTGAAGCGAAATCTCAAAAACCCTAGCTCATTCGGTAAGGATGAGTTTATTGGGATCTTGAATTCATATTTGGAGAAGAACAGCGAGAAAGTTGGAATTTTTGTTGGGGTTGATTCTTCTGAAGAGGGTTATACCCGTAAATTGATCAAAAAGGTGGGGTTTTTGATGAGTCGTCAAGTTAAGGGTCTGGTTTTGGAGGCTTGTACTGTATTGGAGCTCTGGGAGTTGTTGGAAACCCTAATAGTTTGTGGATTAGTTGAACGTTTGTGCTCTTCAAATTTAGTTCATAATTTGATCGAACAGAGGAGGTCGGATTTGATTTGTTTATGTGTTAAGCATCTTTCAGACCTTCAAACATTGGATGTAGTTTCAATTTTGAAGTACTTTCTTTCACCGAGTAAAGGTGCATATAGTAGTATGCTAAGTGTGAGGAAGGAATGGGAGAGCCAAGCTTTATTGGCTATGGAAAAGGCGATGGATAAGAAACTTAGTGGGAAGAAACTGAACTTGGCGAAAGAGGCCTCGGTTCTGCTCATGGTAGCGCACGATGAGTTTTCAAATCCTGAATTGTGCTTGCATTATCTGCTTGCATCTTCAAACCTTGATGAGGTGATTTTGTCTTCCTGTATTAGCAAGTTGAATGGTTCGGAGATGATGGGATTGATTCAGTACTTGGGAAAGTGGTTGAAGAAGTATGAGAGATTTCCTCAAGTGTGTCCGTGTCCTAAAGCGTCATCTATGTTGGGGTTGAAAGCTTGTGAATGGGTCCCTACACTCGAAGACATTGTGAAATGTCTCGGGCTAGTGGTGGACGAGCATTTCTCTTCGTTGGTGTTGCATCCCGAGTTCCATGAAGAGTTGAGGTCTATAGATGGACTTGTTAATTCTTTAGCTCTGGAAGCTAGACTCTGTTGTTCCATGGCAAATCTAATTGAAACTTTGAGAACTGAAGTTAGAGGTATTTAATCTGAACTCACACCTCTTATTGCTACATCATATATTTATTGATCTATTTTGTATGATATTTAACAATTAGTGTTGTTGAAGTACTTTTTGATATACACTGGAGCTAGTGAAACTTAAAATTTCATGGCTGCTCGATTCTACTACTAACACATGTTCAGAACTCCCTCTATTTTTTGTTCCCATCTTTGAGATTACATTTTTTATTTTTGAGAGTGGTTGTCATCAAGTGAGTACTATACCTCAAATTTGTTGTTTTGACTTTAGTGGAAGGCCTTTGTATTTTCTTTATAAGATGTTATGTGCTCATTTGCATATGATTATTAGTTGGTGTGGTAGTTGAAGAGCAGCCAATTTTGTGTTTAAAACTAGTAGTTTCTCGCATATCATCAGAATGATCATCTCTACAGTGTAAGGGTGAGATGACAAGTCATTCAAATTTGTCATCCAATTTGTTACCATTTAAATTTGTCAGGCTATCTGAAGTTTAACTCTGAACTACACCCATCTTTACTAACTAGGAAATAGAATTTGTAACGTGGTAGTATATTTACCAAATTATTTATGAAAATATTGACAAGCATGAGAATGTGGGTTCAAGTCTTGAGCAGCCATTTTGCCAATGTTTGTCTCTAGTCTTCTTACTCCCATAAAATAAATTGTATTGAGACAGTGCTGAGGTGCCACAACCTATATACAATAAAAAAGAGGGGGAAACAAAATATATAGTAAAAAATAAATAAATCCGACACCCCTAAAACATTTGGAAGAATAACATCCACTCTCTCTACAACAAAATTCTTTAATAAACTGCCAATTTCACAGGAGTTTTCCGAGCTTCAAATATCATATTATATATCTCTCCACTAGCTTTAATAGTAGACGAAGTGGATTTAATGTTCGGGTGCTCCTTAAACTTCTTTAATTTTTCCTTGAAAATGAAATGGGGAATGTTCTTTTTTGTACTTAACAACAACAATTTTGTAATTGACTTAGGATATGTGGATTGATTGTTGTACAATGAAATTAAATTTTCCAAGATGGAAACATGCTTACAAGATGCAAAAATTCAGGACAATACTAATAAAAAATATTAGTGTGTTAATGCCATATAACTTGGAAAATATATTCATGGTAACTATGTTCTTTGGAGGATTAAAGGACATGATGTCAATGACTAAATGGTCTTGTAGCTTTGATGGCATGCGTCACTATGACTTTTGATGATTCTCTCGTAGATAAAATAATTAAAACGTCTCTGGCTTATTCTATTGAACTGAAACGTTGATAGGGAAGTCAGTGTTATTTTAGAAACTTAAGGTGAGGCCCTTACTGTTTTCATAAACCTATAACAGTTTAGTGTAATCTATCTTATCATTTATTATTGCTCATGTAATGTCACTTGTACTGCAAGTATAATCCTATAATTTCAACAGCATAACATGGCATTCTAGAACAAGTTTAAGGCCCCGTTTGGTGTAACTGTTAAAATAACTTATAGATTATAGCTTAACAGATTATAGATTATGACTTTAATCAGAAGTTGTTAATCTGTTTGGTGTAGCTGTTGGATTATAGATTTAAGTTACTGAGTAGTGTTTGTTAAATAAGCTGTGAAATAGCTTTTTTTAATTAATTTTTATTTTTTGTTCGTCTACATTTTCCATAAATAATAATAATAATAATCTATAATCCATTTGAGTTTTTTTCTATTTTTAAAAAATAAAAAATAAAAAAAATTAAGAGTATAACCATAAATTAACATGTCCACAGCAGAAGCTGATAATCAGAAGTAAGGGGTGAGCAGCTTTTCAGAATCAGCTTTTTTGAGTTAAAATAAGCTGTTAGAATCGGAAGCTGTTTGAAATAAGTTTAACCAAACAGTCCAAAATAACTTTTTCAAAGCTAAAAGCCATAAGTTGGCTCTGAAAAGCTGAAACAAACACCCCCTAAGTATGCTAGGGTATTATTTGTGGTTTAGGCCTTGTTTGGTTTGTGTTTCTCAAAAAAATTTGGGACAAATTCTCTACAAACAAGTTTTCAAAAGTAATCAAACCAAACAAATTTTTTCAAATTTTTTTTCCAAAACTTGTTTGGTTTACAAATTTTCCAAACAAATCTATCTCTCATACACATCAAATCAATCACTTTTTCCAAAACTCTCTTAAAATAATTTTTCAAAACATCTTTTGAAAAAAAACCAAACCAAACAAATTTTTGAACTTTTTATCTCAAAACATGTTTCTCAAATACAAACCAAACAAGGCCTTAATCTTTCTGCATTCCATGTAGTGTGCTGGGATAGAGAGTTTTTTTTCCCTTGGAAAAACCTGTTTGTACTTGGAAGAAGAAATGCTTTTGACTCTAATTCTCTTTTTCTTTTCTTTTCTTTTCTCTCTTTCTTTCTTTCTTTCTTTCTTTCTTTTTTTTTTTTTTTATTAAAAATAATTTCCTTCCGAATATAGATTACGCATTGTTTGTAATCTCAGATCACTGATCATATCTAAATGCACACTATTTTTGCAGGTTAACCTCCAATCCGTATTTAAATGGATTGATTCGGATTGGTTCTACGATTTAAACGGATTGGATTGGTTCCAATTTTTCAGGATCCGTAGATAATGGATTAGTTCTGGTTTTACTCCAATCCGGTCCAATCTGGACCATGCTCACCCCTACTATTTTTGCAGGTTAACCATCACTTGGCGGCTCTGGAAAGTGACTGAAAAAGGGGAGAACGATTCCCATGAGGTTTTTAGGAACATTCAATAGAGGCTAGTTTGCGCTTCAACAATGCAACGTTGAAATTGCATGTTTGTGGCACATGAGAACTCAGTTACATTTGATTCTTGTTTTCCTCCATCAAAAGTATTGTACTTTAATTTTGAGTCTACCATTCGCAGCAATTGATTATTTGGTAAAAGTCTCATGTTTAAATTTTGAGTTCATCATTCATACAGTTTATCAGAATCCTGCTGCCACGTGTTCTGTTCTTGCTTATTTTCACCTGAAGCCATCTGGGCGACCCAAAGGGTCTGGCTAAGCCTCATTGGCGGCACCTGTTATAGCATGTAGAAGATTAGCATGTATTGTTTTGTGAGTTCATCGATGTGACGTTGCTTTTGTCTTTAAGAAGACACCATGAGGAGTTTGTGATTTGTATTTGAGACAGATCAAGTAGCTAGTTACATTTAGGGTATTGACTAACCATGTTTTATCTATAAATGAAAATTAATTTTTTTTATATAAAAAAAGTGATTTTATGAGGTAATTTTTATATTTTGTTTCTGGGTAATTTTAACATTTGGGAAAAGTCATGTAGTTAACGCTGAGCAGAAGATACTGCATGAAGAGAACACAGGAAAAGCATCCAATTAGAGATAGCATTAATATTTGGTCATTAGTTTGTTTTAATTTTTGACTAATTAATTGCCTTTTTATCTTTTCCAAGACAAACAAGGCTTGCACCAAAAATTCCCAAATTTTGCACTCTTCTGTATATTGAGCAACAGCTGTGTTCAGATCTGATCCATTCAGTCTTTGCAATTCATTCTAGTGATTTCATGGTCGCCAAATATGGATTAACTTGCTCTCCCAATATTTGAAGAAAATGGAAGGAAAAGAAGATCCTATTATGGAGAAACCATCTTACAAATAGTCTCTTGTCAAGAGAGAGAAAAACCTAAGTGCTGAGAGAGAAAAACCCAGAAATAGTCTGTTGTCAAGTACAGTTTGGATTGTAGGGGGCCCTAAGTGCTGGTATCAAAGGGTCTTGTAGAGATCAAATTTCACAGTTGAGGATGCCAAAGAAATAGAATAATTCAAAGACAGTTACAGCAACTGAAAATATATGGTTTATGAGGGCTAACGCTCTTCAAAAAGGCTCGTCGACAACATACAATTAGTACAAAATTGCCTCATTACATATGGGTTGGTTTGCTATTGAGAAGTAAATAACCTTAAAACTATGGTACATTTGGATGTACCATACATTAGTTATGAGATTATGTGGTTTGATATCATAACTAATATCATATAAATCATAACTATTCTTATATTAACTCATAACTTAGTTATATTTAGTTATTTATATATACCATATATTCTTATATTAACTCATAACTTAGTTATATTTAGTTATTTATATATACCATATTATCTTATAACTATCATATAATTAAATTATTTTAATAATTTAATTTTGAATGTATCCTGTTTCTAACTGTTTAGTTACTTCTGCTTAATCGTCTTCCTTGTTTGTTTAATTAATCCTGTTTTCGGTTCATCTTAATCACCCACAAGATCAGTCTATTCTATCCACCTAGTTTAAGTCACCCACTTCTTCCCAATCTTCTGTAAGTCCTTCGGTTTAGGCAGAATCAGACTTTGGGGTTTAAAGATAGGGTATGCATGTATACTAGGTATGTGGTAAAATTGACAAACCATCTTACAAATAGTCTCTTGTCAAGAGAGAGAAAAACCTAAGTGCTGAGAGAGAAAAACCCAGAAATAGTCTGTTGTCAAGTACAGTTTGGATTGTAGGGGGCCCTAAGTGCTGGTATCAAAGGGTCTTGTAGAGATCAAATTTCACAGTTGAGGATGCCAAAGAAATAGAATAATTCAAAGACAGTTCCAGCAACTGAAAATATTATGACAAAACAGCACTTGCTAATCCTATGAAGCAAATTCGTTAAGACACAAAGCAAGCTGTGATGACTACAAATCCCCAGGCATCAAAGCAGGAACAATTCACAGTCTAAAGACTTGAGCATGTAGTAGGTTGGCAAAGAAATTGACAGTAGACACATGATAATTTTAAGGTTTATGAGGGCTAAAACTCTTCAAAAAGCCTCTTCGACAACATGCAATTAGTACAAAATTGCCTCATTACATATGGTTTGGTTTGCTATTGAGAAGTAAATAACCTTAAAAGTATACTACAACCTTAAACATTTTTCTGCAGCTAATCTTCTAGCTCATTTATGCACAGTTGCTTCTGCTAAATGACTACTACAAGGTGGCTCTCAAACATCTTGTAAAAAAACAGCACAGCTTAAAATGCCATCAATATGAGCTGAAGTAGATTTAAGTAATGAATTACGCATAAATCTGCTGCTCAAATTCCTTTACATAGGGGAAAATAGTAAAGAAGACTGGCTCAAGATATAAGCAAAATTTTGATGGATGGAATGGAATCCTACCATTGAGTTGTCGTCCCACTTTCATCGGAGGCCTTCTGTAAGCGTAAAACCCCGGTCGGCGAGAGACAGAGGCAGTATAGGCATAGCATTTTGGATTTCTTGACAAAAAATTATATTGACGGCTTAATTGTGACAAAACATAAATCAAACAAGCATATTTGTGACCATCACCCAACAACTCATATGTACAAGTCACTGATTTGTTGACCTATCTGCTTAATTCGGATGGATCTGTGCAATAAGCACAGCACCAAAGCAGACCAAAGAAAGATTTTTGATTGGATCAATTGTGGCAAGTAGAGAACCTACTCTAATCGTACCACCTCAACCCAGCCAATTCGTTGCAAGCTCAAATATGCCACATGTTTTATTATAATTATTGTGTGCCAGCCATAAACATTCATTTAAACATTAAATCATATTCCTTGTTTTAAACCATATAAAAGAAAAAAAGGCATAGACGAAATAAATAATTATATACTAGAGAAAATAGAAACTTACATCCACTTGATATCGAGCAGAAAAGTGGATCAAAAGAATTGTCTTATTCTGAAACCTGTCTACATAACCGATTATTTGGAATTATAATGCAAAAAGATAAAAACAAAAGTAGAGAAGCATTAGATGACCAGGGGAATACAGATTAAAACGTTCACGAGGAATAAGAAATAATGAAAACAACAAAAAGCCTTCAGATACTCGAACCTCGGACAAATGAGTATGTCCATAATCTCTTGCATTCTCCACTGTCTCTAAGTTTGTAACATAGGTGCTCTGAAAACAAGGAGAGGAAACAGAGAAAAGATATTCAAAGAAGTCATGTTGACTCGCATATAATTTAGAAATTTATCATACTGAATTTTATGAGGTCAGCTATACCAAAATGAAATTAGATTAATGACAATGGCAATTCTTTTGTATATATCTATAGTGTGTTCTTTTCTTCTTCCTTTTTCCACCCTGAAATTCTCCTCCTTATCTTATATCTCTTAATGAAGCTACAAAGAATCTGCTTCCATTCCTTCTCCTTGTTATTCTACTTCTCTTTATTGCTGTCTGAAAACCCCCCACAAGATATTTTTCGAGAAAAATAGCAGTTTATAATCCACCAAGTGTCATCCATTCTAAAACAAAAATTCATTGAAAGCCCATTATATGTCCTTCTGTCTTCACAAACCTTAAAACCATAAAAGACTAAAGCTGTAACCCATATAAGAGATCGAAGACTACATCACTCATGTAATCTTACGCTGTATTTGGTTGGGGGATTTCGCAAGAGATTTGGAAAGGGAAAGGGAAAAAGTAGGTGAAATATGTATAAAATATAGCTATATTTTTACATAGTTTCACACATCTTTTCTTTTTTCTTTCCAAATCCTTCAACTAAACACAGCGTTAGTGTCTTCCTACATTATTGCAAGATTTAGTGCAGTTTGTAAATTTTGGGCATTCTTCTGATTTATTGGCCCTGTATCCTTCACATCCTACAGCGATTAGAATCAATGGATTGCTTCTAGGACTCCTTTTCATTCTCGGCCATCTCTCAGGGACATCCAAATGCAACAGGTACAGGAACTGCCCTATAGGATGTTATATAATGCATAGATAAACATATTTTATCCATATCTTTTAGCACAAAATTAAAGCTACGGTCTATTTAAAAGAGAATGGGACGCCACCTTTTGTCGCTGGGGAAAGAAAAAAAAGGGGAACAAAATTTGAATAAGGGCTGCCTTTGAAAGATGAGAGTGTCCTTGGAAGTTTGCTTGGGCTGTAATGGAAGGCAACAACCATTGCTCCAATACTAAATTCATTTGCGACAGCACTATTATGTGTTCATTGATTTTATCTTCAATCCATTACTCTTGTTCATTATGTGCTTTACAAGATGGGCTTAACCTGTTTTTGCAAATTATGCTGTTACGTCCAGGAATTTTAGAAACATCTTCCATTTATTAGAAATTTTCAATCAAGATGTTCGTTTTTTGGTCTCTTGAAATTACCATATCAAACTTATGCTTTATGTCTGATAATAAAGGTTTTGTTTACTTCTGGAATTGGAGTGTTCTGCAATCAACTTAAATCAATTACATGCATTTATTTTTTCAATTTTCATTCATCTGCTAGATCTCATTTTCTTTCATGCTTTTTGTCTGGTTTTGTCCCAAAGCAGGGAAAACATCACCCGAGTCTTTCCCACAGTCCAAAGGCAAGAACAACTGGATTTGCTATCGCTACTGGTCAGGGCTCACCTTCAGATTCTGCATTTTGAACCGCTGGTTCAAACCGGAGGTTGACACACCCTCATTGATCCGTTCAATTAAGATCGAGGAAAGGGCCATAAAGGACCTTAAGCGCTTTTACAGTAGTGTTAAGATTGTGAAAAACCAGTCTTAAGACAATTGTGTGGTATTGCTCCGACTGGTTTCAATTGGGTCCTTTGGTTCCCCCCTCTTTTCCCTTCTGTTTAATTTTTTTGGGCGTTTCTGTAAATTGACCGTGTAGATTTCTTTGTACATTCATCCCCTTAGTGTTTACAAGGTGGACATTTTTTTTCTCCTTCTGTTAACAAGGATTTTATTTTGAAATAGGCGCTGTTTTTTGTTTGCCCGAACATATTTACCCTCTAGTAAGTTTCGACTCTAGCTTGCAGTGGCATTTATCAGCCTTTTCAACAGAATAATTCAATATGTCGTGTTCCATTGCTAGACTGAGGGCATTTTTCACCTTATCTGTTTAATAGTTTTGGTCATCATTTTTGTCTCTTTA